AAAAAAAAAAAAAAAAAAAAAAAATTAAACCGTACGGACTCGCCGATTCACTGTTCGGACTCGCCGATTCCGTACAGAGAATCGGCGATTCACTGTACAGAATCATCCGGTTCTCTCTAGAACCGGACGATTTCCGATTTTTGGGCGATCCGGTTCCTTTTTCACTATTTCCGAGTCGAACCGGGCGAGTCCGGTTCGACTCGGCGTTTTTTAAAACGCTGGTTCTGAACATTCTATTGCATACTCCCCAATACGTAGAAAAGTTGGTGGTGAGCCTCATGGTCACATATAATAACCAAAACCTAAAACTGCTTGTTTCACATGGGTTCTGATCAGGTGGATTGCCCATCCTCTAAATCATGATATGCGTCCCCTTCCCACGATCCAACAAGTGTAGCGGCTGATTCTCTATTTTTGATATGTAATCATTGGAAATGTAATGTGCACATTCAATGTTTAACTATAAAAAGTGGCGAGGTTTGCATAAGGTTGTGACTTTAAACAATTGTCAGATGCACGTCTTTAAGTTGAGTGAGTTGCGCCTTATTAAGCAGTCATAAGATTCAATTTTGGTGTCAAAAATTTTGTGGATGGTTCAAGAATCTATTTTTATTTTTAAATATAAAATTTTAAATTTTAAAATATTTCAAATCGAGCAAATCTATATAAACACATGAAAATTTTAAAAATGAATAGTCCATATAATGTGTTGCAAGATGTACTACTTTTGGGACTTGAATTTTTTTTTTTTTTTTTTGTATATCGATAAATCAGAGATGATTCAATTGAGGACAATTGTTTCATGCGGGATGGACCGCATGACAACATATGCAGTCGAAAAAGTTCAAGGCAACCATCTTAAAGATGGATGAAAGTAGGTGTTCCATCTAAAAACAATGGAAACTAACAATCCAGATGAATTATAATTTCCAGCGTTTAAATTTTACTAATTTTTTCATATTCTCCATATTAGATATTATGTCTTTAAAAATCAAGTCCAAAAATTAATCTCAAAAATAAATTTATTAATAAGTCCGTATTTCCATATACACGTCTTGGCCGCAAAAAAACCAGGTCCTTCATTTAAGGTGTCTTCCAATATATATATAAAAAAAAAAAGCCGTTTATGATGGAATTTTGAGGTGCACCTCAATTCTAGAACTTAGGTGTCAAACTAGTATTAACTTTTTCCTATGAAAAAACTGCAGCAAAAATATGATTAGAAACATGGACTCTCTTTTGGTAAATTTTTAAGTACCCTCATTTTGACCAAATCTTGCACCAAAGAAAGTTCCCTAGCTTTACAGAGAGACACTCCCGAAAGATTCTTGACCATCATTTACATGTTAGTATTTCTATTTCCATGGGAGCAACAATATCTCCACTTATCTTCCCTTGCTACAGAGGATAAGACGCAACAAACACTTAAAAAACTTCTCACTCTCAAAAAAAATGAAAACAAAAAGTGCAGTTTGTTATCTGAAGTACAGTGTACATACCCCTGAACTGCAAAAAAGAAAACAAACGAGCGAGAATAATAGAAGCACGTAATGTCTAAAGTTTGGAAATGGGTTTTGGATCCACGTCTCCCATCAAAGTTATTGAACCATTACGCAGCTGCTACAAACTAATTAACGGTGGAGATGAACTAACATCCGTTGTTCACGATAAAGAACAGGAGGTGGATGCCGGTTGTGTACCATATATTATACACCGGCTGTGTATGGTATGCTTACCCATCTTTTGTAAGTGTTGAAAGGGTTAAAAGGTTGCATTATCTGATGTAGAGAGAGAATAAGAGATAGAGAAAGAGAGAGGTGGCAGGAAAGTTTAGAGAGAGAGAGAATTGGAGAGAGAGAGGTGGCAGGTTGGCTTTAGGTCAGGGTCTGAACTTGGTCATGTGGGGGTGGGGTTTCCCCTGAAAACTTTAAAAACCCACCCTATCCATCCATCCTCTTACACATACAACCGCACTCTTTAACTCTTTTCCCCTCGTTTTAAATAAATATTGTGCTATCCGGACCCACCGAAAATTCACCGGCTATATCATAGGGTGGGAAAACCAATTTTTATTATATTCTTCCTGTGGGAATCTCTAGTGATAGATTTTTGCAGTTATTAATATTATTATACACATATATAGTCTTTCTCCCCCCACTAAATTGGTAGTCGGTTCCCGATAATTCTTAGCCTGCGCCCTTTTATTCCTTTCCACATTGCTTTTTCTCTGCACCCTCTGTGACCTTCTCACCCTCACTTCCTTGCCCATCCCTTCCCCCCCCTCTCTCTCTCTCTC